TACATGGAGATGAAAGAGAGAGAGACAGAGAGAGAGAGAGAGACAGAGAGAGAGAAAAGAGAGAGAGAGTTTGGGAGGAAGGAGGAGATGGGGGAAAGTAAGAAATTACTCTGCATTGTGGAATTTAATTCAATCTCTTTCTTATAATTCACTTGAATTAAGAATCATGTATTTCTCTCTTTGGAATAAAATCAAAAGCTATTTTTTGTAATATTTAGCTATTTTTTTAACCAAATCAAAGTTAAATCACCACTAGCCTGAAAAGTTGTTTTCCAGTAAGGAAAGGGGGAGGGGTGGTTTCTATGTGATGCCTGACCTTTGAACCACAACCTCCTGTCACTAAAGTGGTCAGTACCTCATTCAATCCCTCTCTTCTGCAGTAGCCTAGTGCTGAGAAAAGGAAACGGAAAAATAGTCTGGAGACTTCATCAATTTTTCATGAATTTTCATTTAGGCCAGAACCCCCTCTTCCCCTGGTCGATAGATCAAGCTATTGTCATATATTTACCACCTGGGGCTACAGCTGCCATCTCTAGAGGCCACCAGGCTGACTGGATCACAGGCAGCCATGCTGGGGCCCTGCTAAGGCCTCTGACTCTTCTGCTCTGCACACCACAGTACTTATTCCGAACTGTAACCCTATCTGCACCTCTATGCCTGGCTCTCCCTGGGGTCCCATTGGAAAACCACCTATTAACTTCATGAGTGCCAGCCTCTTGTTTGTATATAACCCTGCACCTCTGTTTTCTTTCCATTTAAAAGTCACTTTTGCCTAAAGACCAATCTTGAATTCAGATGACTTGAAGTACCTTCTGAATTGCTATTAATTTCCTTCGAGAGAAGTTTTAGAAAGGAAAAAAAAAAAAAAAAAGAACAAAAACCAATAAGGCAATTCAACTCTCCATGTCAATAACTAGCCTCGAATGATTTTTCTTTTCATTGTCTATATTGTTTTGTTACATTGCTGAAGGAAGTAGAGAGAGGGAGAGAGGAGAGAGGGGAGGGGGAGAGAGGGGTGGGAGAGAGAAAGAGAATGAATAAATATGTTACAAGAAGAGCTGGCAAGTTTTTATATAGCCTGTTAAGATAGATAGCAAAATACAGTAGTTTTGTATTTAAAATAAAAATCAAAGTGAAACAAAGGGAATCAAACATTTTCCACACTGCTTTATCAGTAATAATTACACAAAACACGTGTTGGTATTTTTGGTAGCCACAACCATTGACGGGAAGTCCTTGAATGTCATGAGCAAAAGCTGGAAAAGCTTGCAAACTTCCTTCAGTGTAGAACACCAGCACCTGTGACCCCATGGGGTAGTAGTACAGGCACTGAGAGGCTCTGCTCACATCCCATTCAGGATGTAACAGGCATTTGTTACAACCACCACTATCACATGCTACTTCTTCACCTACTGGGTTCTCTCTTACCTGCTAGAGTCCAAGGTTATTTTTATAATTTAATCTCTAGGGAGTATGTTCACTGTGCCAACTACTTACTCATCTTAAAGGTGTGTTTTCCATGCCCCTTCATCATGCCCTGTCTCTCTGACACCTATTCTCACCACAGCCTCTTGCATTGGCCCTACTTCCTTTTGCCCATGATGAGCTACTGGTTAATTCAAGCAAACAGGATCAGTCTTTCTAATGGTTCTCTGCTTGCACCTTGCCTGGTTACTCACCTGTACTTTTATTTATTCCTGTGGCTTCAAACTGTACATAAGAATGACTTCTCCACTGAATTCCAGAAGTTATTTCATAATGGAACATGAGATATTTTCACCTTGAAATGCCATTGGCATATCAGTGCATGGAGCCAAAGTTCAATGTATTCTTATTTCCATAGCTGCTCCCTTCTGCAACCCCGTTATTATGAAAGCTGACATTTCAGCCCAGACTCTCAGACATAAAAGTATTTAGAGATACAGACCATCTTCCAAATTGACCACAAATGATATAATGTATAATTCTTAGGTAAGTTTCTAATTGTTTCCTCTCTTTTCAGTTTTCACTACTATTTTTAGTTTAGAATTTAAGATAATCTCTTTTCTGAGTTGACAATTTACCATTCCATTAACTTCATTCATCATCCCCTTAATACAATCATCAACTCTATTTTAAAGACACCTTTACTCATAATGAAAAGTTCTTGATTTTATGGTAGACCGTATGCCTACTTTTCCATCTTATTCAGCCCAAACAAACCCCAATAATCTAATCTATCTGACTTTTAGCTAATACACATCCTCTTCTACTCCCACTCCATCTACCAGGATGCTATTCAATTTCAATTTCATATAAGATATTTTCATCTGATATTCATATCAGAGAGCAAATGATGCTTCCCTTTTTAGGACCCTTTCTTAATATCACTGACCTAGGAATATGCAAACATTCTCCCCTCTGATTTCATAGAGTACCTTCTGTCTGTCCCTCTAATAGACTGTAGATTTGTCTGTCCAATTTTTTTATAATTATCTTTTTGTCATCTGAAGTACATTTTAATTCTCTGATAATACAACGGACCATGTCTTCTTTATTACAATCCGAATGCATCCCTTTCAGTAGCTATCTGCATTCCATTAATAGAGGAGAAAATGGTGTTTCCTCATTTAGCATTTCTGTTTCATGTGCTAAAATACACAGGCAAGAGTTTTATATAATCTATAATTATTCTACTATCATTGTATACTAACATATCTTCATTACAAATAGTTAATGAAAAATCTCCGTGCTTTGACCCAAGTTTCCATGTTCATATCTTTTATAAACTACACAAAAAGCCAGTGGAAAGAGATGAGCAACATCTAAATGAATATTTGATCTTTGATAGCCTCAAATAGTATGAACTGTTGATGTAGCATTAGAAGAAAGAATTGCATTCACTAACTAAATCCAATTTGGAAGCCTTCTTATTTTTCCTCTCTAGATTGTAAGCAATTCAACCATTTCTTAAAGCTCATTTATTCCCAAATAAAAAATGCTACTGTCATATTATATGAAAAAGAATCATGCTTTAACTTTTTCCCCTCTTAAAACAGTTTGATTCATTATTCATGATTCAGTTAGGAGAGACAGTAATCCTTTCTGTTAAAATAAAAATAAAAGATGCATGTGTGTTGGGAGCAATTTTAACAAAGCTAAGACTCGGGAAAAATATGTTTATTATGTCTAACAAAGAAATTATTGGCCAATTTTGATAAACTTTAATGTTCTGAATTTAAATTAGTTACATATATAAAGTGGTTCTTAGCTGCTGTATTGAAAAAAAGAAATTGTTATAAAAAATAAATTTCTTCCTTTTCATTTCTTTAAAATCAGTCAGCTTAGTTGTAGTGTTCTAGAGGACATAACAATCCCCTAAGAGCAAAAGTTAAAGATTCAAATTCATTTTTCAAACCCTTTTAAACTACTGTCTACATCTTGGCCTTTTAGTCATAATGAGCTTTCTTACAAAACAGGAGCACTATCCCTGTCATGCCTTCCAAAAAATAGTTATGGGAGGGTAAAAATCATGAGATTTAGCACTTAAATATTTCAATATACTTGAAAGTTTCAGAAATAGAATATTTCAGAAAAAGTTTGAAAATTTAGGAATTTAGATATTCTTGAATTTGTAATTTTCTATTTCAAATATCACTAAATTGCATTTAAGTATTTTTGAAATATCATTTGATTTTTTTAAAAAAAACAGAATACTTGATATCTGGTACAGAATGACTTTAGTAGTAAAGATTCTAATGTTTATATTTCAAGATTTTTCACATTAAATTCAGATCTTTAAGAACTCTCCCACTCATTTCTGATTATAGTGAAATATTTTAACCATCAATGAGTTCAAGGTTTCTGGGCATAAACTGTTAATCAGAAGACATAATACTTGAGAATAAGAACTTCCCTGGACAGCTAAGTAGAAAGTAGTTCTTTACATTTGCTCACCAAAAAATGATTTCAGGTGTAAAGACAATGATGTGTTCTGAGTTTTAACTCATGCATACATAAGCTTTGTAATCCATAATCCACTGTGGTACCACACAGAATGTATTGACTTTAATTAACAGAAGGACCTATTGTTTAGCAATCCTCAAATCAAGGAGACTCATGCATTTGATATTCTTCAGTTCTCATCTCCAGGAGGACTAACTACAGTTGGCACAATCATTTCATCTTATTCACAATTCATTCCACATAAAACCTTTCCTCAAAACAAACAACTTACTAGGAAAATTTTATGGCATTGTTTAAATTACCACCCCAATCCTCAGACCAAAAATCTGAGGATACAGAATGTCAACAGTTTTCAAATTGAAGGAAAGCACTGATAACGTTCTTTCGCAGTTTTCAGAGCTGGCAAATAAATGTAATAAAAGAAGGCCAAAGACAGAGCAAGCCCTTGGCTATTTTTGAAAATTGAATATAAATGAGAAACTCTGATACAGAATGATTAGATATTCCTTGATGAGTCCTACTACAAAAGAAAAATTATTGTCACAGTTGGCCATGTAGTCTTCCTTCTATGCCAAAGATAATGATTCCTGAATTTGGACTAGAAGAAAAGGGCTGGTATAGTCTAGAGAATAGGGCATCTTATTTTGAAAGTTGCCCTCTAAAATATTCAGAGGATATAGATGTATATGTTTCATAAATAGCTATGATATTAGATTTATGCCTGTATTATACAACCTTTTATACATGAACTTTTGATTTTAACAAAACTAGCATTGATACTCCATTATATTTCTCATTAATAATTCAAATTTTCAATATGACCAGCACTGTGTATTGCCTGTTGCTTGCATTCTAATAGCTTAGACCTTATTTTAATTAACTATGAGCATATTCACTACAAGACCTAGACTGGCAGTATTCCAACCAGATTTATTTAGGGAAGCAGAAGTTATGTACTACGTCGATTGCACTATTCTTGGGGAGTCATGTATCTGTGAGAAGCCATCAGACTTAATAACAAACAAAATAGAGAGAAGCTCATGGTGTTCACTTACATGCCACTTCCAGAGATGCATTTCGACTCACTGCTTCACCGAGATAGTTCCTTGCAACACAAACATAGCTCCCTTCATCTGGTTTACTTCTGCGCCCGTGCACAATGCGCAGGAAGAATAAGGATCCACTGGGGAGAAGCATCCGGTGTGACCGGGGATCATCCTTGTCAGTCTCCACCCGCTCACCATCCTTGTACCATTCAATGGTGGGAGTTGGCCTGCCCTCTGCCTTACAGTTCAGAGTGGTGGGCTCTCCTTTAGAGACGATAACATCAGAAGGGTGCTCCACAATCCGTGGGGGAAAATCTTCTTGACGAAGACGAGATCCTACAAAACAAGACGAAGACAGTTTTACTTCCTCATGACAGCTATTTGTTTCACTTAGATTCATGGTAAGACTTAACCTATTCAGTTATTTAATGGAATAACTGGATTACACTGTGTTTGTCTTGTTTTTTAAGCATTTCTAAATCAACTCTTTTTGTACAATGAGACCGTGCAGCGATAATGTAATATCAGGCTTAACATGTTCCATAAAAATGAGACGCAAAAGTAAAGACAGCAAGAGTTTTTTTTCTTTCTTTCTGAGGATTGATACGTGAAAAGGCGACCAAGATGAACAGAACAAACTGATTTCCTGTTGTCTAAGTCCATACTATTCTCTGGGTAAGGAACCCAAGAGGACCAGCCCAAAACCATGAACAAAGCCCAGAGAAACGAGACCCCGCACATGCCACATTGCTCAATCATTAGTAACTCGATATGGCTGATTAAGTTTCAAGTTAGTCTATGTGTAACTTTTACTCCACATGACTCACGGATGTTGAGGTGCAGTTATGCAACTATCTGTATAGTATAAAACAAACAAAAAAAAAATTCTTGGGTTGGAGAGATGGCTAAATGGGTAAGAGCTCTGGCTGATTCCAGACGACCCAGGTTCCATTCCCAGCACCCACACAGTGGCTAACAACTGTTTGTAACTCCAATCCAGGGGATCTGACACCCTCTTCTGGCCTCCAAGGGCTTTTCACAAAACAGGTGCACTTACATAAATGCAGGCAAACCACTTAAACACATAAGATGAAAATAAATCTTTAAAAATTAAAAAAGGAGTTCTTTTGGTTTCAGACACGAGAAAGATGGAACGCAATATAGGCAAAAAGGCTACTGAGAATCACTTAAGTACTCAAAGAGATCAATACAACAAAATCTAACCTTGGGAAATGACATTGTAGGCTGAAAAACAGAAAAAGATATGTATGTCATGTCTTAATATAAATACCAAACAGAAGTTGGTAAATGGCTATGGAATCGGAGTATTAGGAACCATTGTGGTTTGAAAGTGTGCTGGAAGTGTGGTCCTCAGCATAGTAAGACAACAGTAAATACAGAACAAGAGTTCAGGGATCCCAGCAGGGATGGAGGGTGAAGACTGAAGACGGGGACATTTGGAAGGAGGAGAGGGAGGAGTGGAAGTGAAATAGACATAGTATTCTCCTGCATGGAATCATTAAATGTAGTTTAAAATGTTTTAAAGATCTTGGATTTTTAAGATCGAATTTTTGCATTATGTACTGTTTTTGACACTTCTGACAATCTTAGAATTATTTAATTATTTAGTAATTCATCTGTGTGTGTGTGCTCATGTGCGGGTGCCCTTGGAGGCCAGAGAGGACATTAGCTCCCCTGGAGCTAGACTTACAGGCAGTTGGGAGCCACCTGAGTGTACAGTCCTCTGCAAAATCAGCCAACACTCTTAACCACTAAGACACATCTCTCCAGCTTCTGGATTCCTTGATTTTTAAAGAATGGCTGCTTTGGGCTGCTTTGGATATCATCCCAGCATATTTAGGTAATATCTTCCAAATAAGTCAAAAGGAGATGCGAAAAAGAGTATCCATGTCTAAGTGTATAGTGATATTGACCTAGCTCGGAATTTCTTTAAAGTTGCTATTATAATTCTCTATGCAACCACCTAAAATTAGCACCTTTCTGTTCCTTAAACAGAAGTAGTCCTCCTCAATGTAATACCAGTTCACATTCAATATAATTAAAATGCATATTTTGGTTTAATAAGTGGAATTTCATTTGGTTATATGTTTGTATTTCCCTTTTTGTTAGAAAATACACTATTGTTTTTCATTTCATCAGATACAAAACAAAAAGGAACAAATAGATGGTAAATGTCAGGTACCTAAAAGAATAAATAGAAATAAGAATTTTAAATGGATCTAATAGAATCAAAGCCTATGGCAAGTAGTTGCTGCACAGCAACACAGGCTATAATATATCACAAGTCTTGTGTCCTTAAGGCAAGTGATGCATTACAGAATATTTTCCTCATTTATAATTTTAGATTTTAAATGCAATTATCTGGCTTGCAACAGTTAACTAGAGCAGAAAATAAAACATGAAAGGTCTCAGCAGTTAGACAAAGATAGATTAAAGGACAGATAGACAAAACTAGGTAATAAAGCTACAATATGAATTTTAAGGTGCTACTGAAATTGGGAAGATTCAATATGATCTCCCTGAACTCAGATGGTACACGTTATAGCAGTTTCCCTAAGACAGAGCCAATAAGACATTCTTAGGTAGGACTGCAAATTACTTGTTGTGTACAAAAAAAAATTGGGAGTTTGGTGGGAAAGATTCTGGAGCGGTATTGGTGATGGGATATGGTATATCTTCCTCTACATCTTCAAAAAGGCCTGGCCTTTAAATTTCAAAAGACTACAGTCCATTGGTATAAGCAAATGACTCCTTTATTTGACAATAGAAGGGAAGCTGAAACACGAGGATAATTCAGTGGGAATTTGAAAATGGAGAAGGGGGGCAGCTCATCACTCAGAGTCCCACAAAACACTGATATTTCAAGCTTTGACACACAGTGTGGTTCCAACGAGTGACACGGGCACCACCCCAAGACACGAAAACCACAGATAGCAGGGTCCAGCTCTATACCTGCAAAATCGAAGTCAGTATTTTTAACAAGACCTCTCTCTCTTAAGATACACCCACATAATTATTTTTGTATGACCCCGAGTTAATAATATCTTTTTTTTTTTAAGTACTGTTAGAGGGGCTGGAGAGATGGCTCAGCAGCTAAGAACATTGGTTGTTCTTGCAGAAGACAGGATTTGAACCCCAGCATCCAAATGGCAGCTAACAAATGTCCATAACTCCAGTTCCAGGGGATCCAACAGCCTCTTCTGACCTCCACGGGCATTACACGACACGGGTGCACTTACCGACACGCAGGCAATACACGCATACACATAAAATAAAAATAATATATAAAATTTTTAAAAAGTTAGAGTGCTTTTAGAAAAAGAAGAAGATGTGGGAATGATGGACTGGAAAGAGCAGAAACAAGAAGTAAAAGCAGGATGAAAATGAAGGGCAAGAACAAGGAAGAGCTGGGAAGAAAAAGACCACGCACTCCAAAGCTAAAACATCTTAGAGAAACTGGTGGACTCTGCCCTACAATATATGATTTTCATTTTTTCATTATTAAATCCACTGTACACTTTTCTATCTTTTTATAGCATCACAAACTCTCTTATTCAGATTTCAAACAGACAAAAACCTTAGTTTGCACATAATGTTAATAATACACATAAAATGACAATTCCCATATTTGAATAAATAGAAGAGTGATGTATCACAATAAATGTCTACAATTCCAAGTGTCCTTATGGCTGATATCAAATCTGGTATCTTTCATGTCTCAAGTATTAACTGGGCAATCATTCCATTTTTAATTAAAACATTTTATTAGACTCTCCCTAGCTATTATGAAAGAAACTAAATGGGAAGTTGTCTGAGACTCCTAAAGCTGACATCAGTATTCTTATTTTTACTAGGAAAGTAGGCTGAAGAAAATTTAGTGACTTGCAGGTAACAGAAGATCCTGTAAGAGCAAACCAGAAATTCACGATCTTTCTTTTAGAATATGTCAGGCTCCCTTAAAAATGAACAGTAAAACAACAGTAGCTTAGGCAATGGATCTAGGCTATGTCAAAACAAACAAACACTCTCTTCCATACTTCCATACTTTATTTCAATAAAAGAATTGCCTGAACGCCACAACTCATAATTTAACCAGAATACATCTGCCTCAATTTTCAAAGTACAATTCTCAGGCCACCATTCTCAGAATCACCTGGAATACGGTTTAATATGAAATGTTTCACAAATGTGCATGCACTCCATGCACGGGGGCCAGACCAATCTCTGCATACTTACAATTTCAGTAGATGTGCTGACAAAGCATGTTGTGGGATATCTTCTTTTAATTTTTTGTAGGTGGACTGTATGCATGTGTTCATATGAATGTGTATGGGTGGATGTGGGTGTACATGTATGTACATGTGCATGTGCACATGTGTTCACATATAGTTGGAGGCCAGAAGCTGATGTAGTGTGTCTTCTTAATCATTCTCCACGTTATTTTTTGAGAGATCCTATCTTAAAGAACCTGGAGCACACAGATTGTACTAGGCTGGCTGGTTCACAGTGAACTCCTAGGATAACACTTAAAAGCACAGATCCCTGGTTTCCATGGTGAGTAGAATGTGTGAGAAATTTGCAAAAACGGGGTCTAAGAAGCTTCAAGTTTAGTATGCCTATCCAGACAAGATGATGCACTTAGACTTAGCTAGAAACAGCAACATCAGTCAGCTGGTGAAGATGCACTTTTTTCTACATACCCAAATTTGTATAATGAATAATTTCTCTTTTTTCACAGACTTTTTAATGATTTGGGTAAAATATTTAATTCTTTATATTTGAGTGGATTATTAGCTCTTTTAAATTTTGGAGGTGAAGATAAATCATAATTCATGAATACAGTTAAATTTTGTTTTATTGAGTCAATAGCCACTCATTTTTAGTGAGCACTGTGCAACTTCTATTGTCAGAACGTGATTTCAGTTACATGATACACAAAAGATGGATCAAGCTTCCAGAAGTACACTTCTTGATTTCATTGAAAGAGTTTCAAAGTAAAATACTCCTACCTCATTCTTCCATTGAAATGCAGTGTTTCCTGGAACAATGCCTATGAAAATTTTCTGAATTCTTCTGATAGAACTTCTTAGCTAATGAAAGGCAGACTGTGAAGTATATTTCCTCTAGCAAAATTTCCATGTTTATTGTTTCTGTCTTTAAAAAATTATGTAATAGTTAATCCTAGTTTATGATGAATATGTTTGCTTTAACAGAGTTTTTGGCCATGAACTATTACAGGAGAAAAATTAATCAACAAGGATGTTCTACAATTACGTCAGACAATGCTGAAGTGACCAGAACAAGCTCCTGACATT